AAAAATATAGTTAAAAGGTGCTATTTCAAATAGCAGGGAGAGTGTATTTATTTATTTATTTATCTTCTAAGAAAACCAACAGCGTTTATCCGATACAAAATTTACAGTAGATACATTTCTAAAAGTATGGCCAATGACAGGTTTTTCTTAACTAAATAAACAATAGGTGACTTATTATTGGTACTTCTATCCCTAACAAGCGATCATCAAACAATCCATCCGTATGTAATTGGTATAAATCTCTTAAATAAAATGTAATATTTACACATATACATAATAATACTAAGTATGTAAGACTAATAAGGTATAATGAATACTTTTTTCTGTTCCGTTTATTCATCTAATATTTTCTTATATATACGATACTTTTAAATATAAATAAATTTTAGTATTTTACTATTATTTGTTAAAAGAGAAGTCAGCCGCACTTTACCGACCGGAAATTGGCGTTACAGAATCGATTGCCGTCGTAAATTCTATTCTTAAACGAAGGGAACGCCACACCGAATCACTAAGGTGGATCAACCGCACTAAACTTACCCAACATTATAGGCGAACTTAGGGTAGCGTTAATTTCCATCTGGATTAGTCGCTGCCTAACCCTAACCGCATACAAGGCCCCAAAGGGCTAGCACAAATTTACTGACGTCGTGTTGCCAGGAATTCAAGGCCTTTTATGCGGTCGGCAAACAGTAAAGTTGTCGCTGCAAAGAAAAGTTGGACTGTGTTAATTAAAGCCCAGAAGAGAAACAGAATATGCGATCTCAACGTAGCTCCAATCACATTTCTAAGTGTTGCCGCACACGGGCCACACGCCACAGCCACAAATGCGCCACGAGAAGCTAGAAGCGACTACTAAAGTGGCTGAAGCGCGCGACAACGGCCGACTAAGGTAAGGGAGGGAGGGGTGGGGAATCGCGCGAGTGACGTGTGGCGGCGTTTTGTATCGGTGTATTAAGTGGCCGGTGCGGGCCACAAGAAGCGAGCAACGACAATTTGTAGCGTGTGGCGGCCACGGGCGTACCGTGTGTGGCGAGTCCATATAAAATGTATGAAAACTACAAGAAATATGCCGGTGGCGGCGTTTTGTGGTTGTGGTCGGTGGCCCGTGTGCGGCGACACTAAGCTTCATCTCGTTTATGATCATTATAAGTTTATACGTAAAAAGCCCCAAAAAGATCCGTACCCTTAGCACGAACCAATATCGAATTCGTAACGTTTGCGAGTCCGAAATGTCATTGTCAAATGTGTACTGATTTTTAATTCTCGTTACGTACTTTGTCGCGCTGCTGTTCAAGTTTTCATACAAAATGTGACATTGACATTTCGCACTCGCAAATTATTCGAATTCAATAATGCTTCGTGCTAGGGGTACAGTATGAAGGTTTTTAAAGATTCCGTACAAAAAAGTGATAACGGAACGACCGACGTTGGGAAGTTGAAATTGTTTCCATCATGTTGTTCTTGGCCATCTCATAACTTGGATACTGCAGCATATATTTACACGAAAATCAAATAACAATGCAAATTTTATCAATCGATTTATTGAAGTTTCCTGCATTGTAATATGATCATAAAACGAACAATAATACATTAATAAGTTCAACGAAGTCAGTGATTTGGGTACGTGTATTTACGATTTATCGAAAACCACGCAGTAAAAGCAAATACAGAAAGCCGAGTATGTACTGTAACTGATTCTAAATAGGTATTCAGGGTTACAGCTTTTTTGTGGCTCGTAAAACCAACAGGTGAGGTAGGTAAGCATTGCTGCATTCATAAATCTTTATTAACTGAAATACTGCCTTCCCCCAAACTGGATTCTTGAATTAGAGACGCCCTTTGCATAATTTGTCCTGCGTGAGGTATCCTAATCTTCCCCGAATAAGACTTATAATGACGTCAGTTTATTTTAATTGGTACAGAGCATGGTTCATTAAAGTAGTTGTTATAAAAATGACAGTATTTATTACTACGTTTTCCGTCTCACTAATTTGATAGACGTGATCGGCTGTGTGATGGGTTGTTTTTTAACCGACTTCAAAATGGAGGAGGCTTTGTTTTTATCAAATCGATTAAAAATTCGTGTGAATTGTAAGAGTCCCATTACCGGTACGCTTCGTCTCTTGGATCAATCTGAATAAAATCTTGACCATCGATTGCTTTTAAAATGCCGTTTATACTTGAAGCGATTGTTCGTTACTTACGGTCGATCATTACTTGTTAACTATATCAGAAACTGATATTGATAAGTTTGGCATTAAAGGCCTATTTTTAAATTTAAAATCAAGTTTCCTTTTATTACCTATAAGGCAGTAAAGATCAGGCTACTGATCTGAGTAGGATGAGAAATGACTATCCAAGAAATAAAAAATAAAAAATAAATGTGTGCGTGTACTAGTGTACACACGTAAGAAGTGAAACTTCTTTATGGCCTTATTTTTCGAAAAATGATCTACATGCAACTTTCCAGAAATTGGTTAAATAAAGTTAAATTAGATAAAGTTTAAACAAAAGGATTTTATTATCATAGACATGAATACAAATTACTGCCTATGAAACTGTTATGATTACACGGCTCAGTAATCTAAGGCACATGTTCCACCTCCGACGATGAACGATAAGCGAGTAGAAACTAGAAACGAATTGGCAGTCCTGAGTTAAAATGCACGCGCACGGCTTTTGACAGCCAAGCCAGCTTAACCGAGCGAGTATAGCTGAGCGAGTATCGCTGAGCGAGTATCGCTGGGCGAGTATCGCTGAGCGAGTATCGCTGAGCGAGTATCGCTGAGCGAGTACCGCTGAGCGAGTATCGCTGAGCGAGTATCGCTATGCGAGTTTGGCTGAGCGAGTCTTATCTTTAATAACTATTGTCACTCAGCTACAAACGAGTAGAGAGAGTTCTCGCCGGCGACAGTGTGATCATTCAGCTATCAACTATTAATATAAAAAAAGATGGCGCGTAACGGAAAAATGTGACGCGTAACCGAAAAATGTGACGGTAATTTTTTTTCCAACGCCGATAAAGAAGTTTCACTTCAATAATGCAATTAAGTTTCCACCATTTTTTTTAGATAGATAGATAGATAAAACTTTATTCACACCAACATGCACACACATACCAAATTGAAGACAAATTTTACAATTATATAAATCCTTTAAAACATGCAACAAATTATATTTATACAACTATACTCATATTCTCGTGTGCAGCAGCGATGCGAATGGGCGAAAACGCAGCGTAACATTAACTCCGAGAGTAAATCGCTGATTTTCAGTGCTGGCCCATATAGATGAAATAAACACTTGAAAATTTAATAGATGATCACAAAGAGTCAAAAACTATCACTTTCGATGATTGAACGAATTTTTGCTACGATCTTCGGTATTATATTTATTAAGAATCAAAAATTCATATTCACAACAAGCTGAACTTTCCTTATGTATTTTTTCAAAAGAAACAAACAAAACTTCAATTTTAACTCAACACAAAGTTTCTATGGACGCTGTACGTAAAGGAATACTCTTGTGAGATCGCACTTTTTCAAAATTTATTCTCCGTGAGGAAATCTATTTCAAACGAAACTGACCCGAAGTATTTCGCGAGATAAATGATGCATCTTTGTTATTGAGGGTGAGCCGCCGCGATCAGGTATAAACTCGGAGACCTTATCGCCCTCACGGTACGGCTGATATTCTCAGTTCGGTGACATATTCCCAGAGCCGCTCAGTACATTTCTCATTCGGGCATTCTAATCCAGTGACTACGAACATTATATCCGTCACATTTTAACCTCCATATATCAGGTTCATAAGAGCTGGGTAAGCCTCTAAAATGGGTGTTTATTGCTTGGTCCTTCGAGCCGGACTTGGTGATTTTGTGAATATATGTGCCAATATGAACTTTACTGCATTGTTTGAAGAACTTACAAATGTCTAGTGGTTCAGGTGCTCGGATAACGGCGTCGGGGTTATCCAGTCGTTTCTCTTGTGGCAGATGTGTTGTTCGCTAGGCGGTGAACTATGTGGATTCAAGCAATTCTTAGTGGAGTCTACCGTAATTAATATAGTTGCCGAATCGCAGTGAAATGTACAGGTAGGTACTGTGGGTGTCGAGGCGATTGTTACTCGAGGTGACTCTAGGTCGCCATAGTTTAACGCCCTCGCATAAATAAGATTTAATGTTTTAGTGTATTTGGGCTGGATGGTTTATTGTGACTTGCACAGATAAATTTGTCTCGTGGAATTATGGTGATATATTTCTTGTTAAGTATAGTTGAATGAAGATGCGGCACTTCAGCTCTCACCTCGATTTTAGGATTAATATTAAGACGTTCAAACATTGAAAGAACTATGCTTAGTATTCAAGTTTTGGTAGTAGTCGATGATTATATGCTAGACTAAGAGTGAAAGGATAAAATAAAGCGCCAATTGGTAACTGTTTTATTTCATGGAACTTATTGTATTGTTGCAAGAGTCTTTGTATGTTTTTGTTTGCTCTTTTATGAAATTAGGAAACAACGAAAAGTGTTGTAAATTATTAGACAATAAGGTTTTAGTAAAAGAGTCACATAATGACGATCTCCGTAGTGGACTGGTATGTACATCGTTGTTTAAGGCATCGCCTACTTTGAGATCCTGGATTTAAAAAAAATTAGAGGCATATGTTTGTTTTATGAATACGGCCAGTTGTACCCGAGTCAGGGCTGCTTATAGATATTTCTGCAAAATTATACTTATCTATCATTATATGTATTTATATCCGTTATTATATTTTGGAGCTACGCTAAGGCTATTTGGTGTGAGCCAGAGAAATACTATTTATAATTCCATTTTTTCAACAAACATATGGTCCGCCTGATGGTAAGTGGCCACCATAGCTTATAGACGCTTGACCCAATCCCAAACCGTGGAGCCCTGAACCTTCCATTTTCGAAAAGTGGAAAAGATAAACATGTTGTTAGTTTTAGCCTCGCTAATTATTGGTATTTCTGTGTTAGTGTCGGAGCAAGGTCCCCACGAGAAGCGGCTGCTGAACGCCCTGCTCGCGTCCTACAACACGCTGGAGCGGCCGGTGGCGAACGAGAGCGAGCCGCTCGAGGTCAAGTTTGGCTTGACGTTGCAGCAGATCATTGACGTGGTGAGTTGACAGAACAGCGTGTTATCTAGACAGTAGTAGTGAGCTGGCTGCCAGCGTTTGCGTATGTTTTGTTACGTATTGCTGGAGCTTTTTTACTGATTCGTATAGGTATATGCCGTGATTTTAATAAGAAAGCACTTTTGAACTGGTTTAAAGGCGCGTATTTTTAATAATTTACATAATACTGGACGATCTGGAGTTCAGTTTTTCAGACTCCATAACGAATTTATTGTTATCTATCATTCGTTTTGCATTCTATTTAATATAATAACTAATATGTGCTTTTAATTTTCATTTCTATATCTTATCTTATAATTATGCACAATGCACACTTATATGGTATAGTAAATTATGAAAAGTAATATTGCAATAAATAAAGTTATGTCTCAATTGCAATCATTTAAGTGTGAAAAATGTGAATCGATATTGTTTTGTTAATCATGATTGCTGTGATCAAAATTAATGATATAGATAAATACCTACACAAACGCTGGCTCGCTGTTAATTATATACAAAAAAGTCATACAATTATAGTATGTGAGTAAAAGACATCATAACAACACCTTCATATTATTTGTTATATATTTACATACATGTTGACTTGAATTACCAGAAAAATATTTGGTAAATTTATAGAAATAATATAGCAACAGTGTCTTTTACTTATAATACTATTATATAGTATGTATTTCGTGAAAAAAAGATTTTTTTGACACCAGTTGCGAAATGTTGAAATGGCGGGCTGTGTTACGTTTGACTCACAAATACCTATGTATGTATAAGTGTGAACAGTTAATTTTGTAAATTGGATATAAGAACGGTTATAGTTATTTAAAAAAAAACGTCTGAATTAGCTTGAATAAAATAATATTTAAACGACGGAATAACTTTTAATAAAATATTCTACTGCTGTTTTGGACCAGTGTTCAAGTTTAATAGGTACATGAACAACGGAAAATGTAAAATCAGTTCTATCACTCTGATAGACTGAATATTGAACAGTGCGAAAACATGCTCGGGAAAATTGATTGGAGCTCGCTTCAGAGTACCCGTAAAGTTATTGGCACGGGGGTGTTGCTTTTATTCGGTACGCAAAGTCGTTGCCAACGCCTAACTTGATTGCATATAAACCGTACCTACGCTTAATTCAGTTGAAAGTTGCAATAAACTCGGAATGTTGTCGTTGGGAAGCGTAATCGCGGCGCGCGTAAAGTTTAGACCAAAATATTTTTATCAGTTCAACATTTTGTTTACTGGTGTTTTTTACCCTTGTTAGATAATGGATCCATATACAACGGATTTTTTTTTATTAATATCAGTGTGTACATAAATTCAGAATGTGGTCAAGGGAAATGCTACTAATATATATATATATATATTTTAAAGGTTAATAACAGGTGTTAAAATAGACGTAAGATTTGTTGATACGTGAGCGAACAGCGGTTTTCTAAGACTTTTAAATGTGTGTTTAAAACCCTGTTATGAATACAGGTTCTTTTATAAAAGATGTTTTATTTACTGTTGCCGAAAACTTTATCTGGTCGCACTTTTCATTTTGGGAAAGCGAGTCGCTCGAACGAACGACATCGGTTTTGACACAAAACCTACTCTAAACGTCAAACGGAGTTTGAAAGATTGAATCAATAATCTTATTTTGCCTTCATTCTCTCTGAATAAAGACGAGCAGACCGTCAAAGAAAATAGATAATGGGTCTGATTTTGGCGTGGCATTTTAACATAAGACGATGGCCGATGTTATCTTCCTCTTTTACTAAAGGGTATTCAGTATCGAAATAGAAAAGAAAATCGCGTTTGCGATGCTAGCTGTAACCGCAGTGCAATCCTGCAGCTCAAACTGCGTAATAATAATAATATAATAATAATAATAAGAGTCAGATGCAGGAGGCAGTACTTCTGGACACAGCCCATATAGTGAGGAGGTTCCTGTCTATGGATCCTTAACCACCGGTAGCAGGGACCCTGATCTTGCTGCCGATGGGGAACTACATTTTTTATTTTTAAATGTTATTTTTTTAATGTTATACATTGTAAAAATTTAATACCTATTTAGAAATATAATTTTGTATGTATTTTTAATGAAATAAAGGAAATAATAATATTCTTTATTGTACACCATACAAGGCATACAGTATATTAAAAACATGAAAAACAGAACGTACACAATATAGGCGGCCTTATTGCTAGGCAGCAATCTCTTCCAGGCAACCCATAAAAGAAAGATAAATTATTATGAAAGAGAAAAGGAGGGGTGTAATAGACAATAATAATAATATCAAAGGAAGGAAAACAGGTATATCTAAGGAAGGAAAGAGAGGGAATGAAGAAAATAATTTAACATTATTGTTGGGATAGGAAATAACTCCGAACTTGAATCCTAAACGAGTTCAGAGTGCGAGCTTTTCGAATAGTTTCTGGCAATGAGTTTAATAGACGTACAGAATGCGTAGTTCATTAACTAGTTATTTTTGCAATGCTATCGCTATATTTATTGAAATCACAAGTATCGTATTTTTTAGTGCACCGACAGCATCCAATCAAAGTTTTGAATTGAGTTGATATGGTCGCCGGATATGCCGGTAAATGGAGACACGCTCCGATCCGATTGGTAAAAATTGCCGCCGTTGCCGCGGCCCGTTCGCCCGCGCGCTGCAATCAGCAAACGGGATGGGGAATTAAGCCGGTATCACGCCAGAACGCGTTCCGCACGCACGCCCAACGCGTTGACATGTTCCGAAAGCGTTAGACTTCTATCTGAATTCTAATATTGAAATGCGGGGAGAACATTAGGATTTTATTTTTCGTTTTATCTATAATATCTTTCTACAGTTTTTACGTTTAAGTGCTTGCGCAAAGCTTCGTAATGATGCTTGAGAACTTTGATTACGCAATAGTTAGCTTATTCGTATTATGGAAATTGTTTTTTTTTTTATAATTTTGGGTTTGGACGGTTATTTCAAATTGACTATCTCTAAGCAAGTGATTCCATTATTCCTGCCTACTTATGCATTTGTTAGCGTTTACTAATTCACACTGCTATCAAAATTTATTTAAATAAGGGTTTTTATTACGGGGTACGTAGGAGGAGCTCTATGGCGCACGTTTGGTTGCGATCGTTGAAGTTAAGCAACTTTCGCAGTCGTCGGTCATTGGATAGGTGACCAAATTTTACTATCTCGAGCTCCTCCGTGCTTCGGAAGGTTTAACGTTTAGCTGTTGTTCACACTGGGGCGCATAGTGGGTCATGGCACAATCTCTCTATTCCATCCATAGGGAAAGTCTGTACCCCAGTGGGGACATTAATAGGCTGACGATTATGATGATGACGTAGAAGGTGGTAGTTCCATTAACTTAATATTTCTAGAATGCTTCTATCACATCGATTATTAATTTTAAATGCATTTTCATTTTTCATCAATAGAAAGTTGCTTAACATACTAAAAACATGTTTTTTGCTAGAATTCTAAATCGGGACAGTTTTTTTTATTAAGATAATACCTACTACTTTTAAAAGAAAAACCGGACAAGTTTGAGTCGGATCCGCCCGCCGACAATTCCGTACTTTGTACGTACAAACATAAAAGGCCGTATCTTCTTTTTGCGCTAACTTAGAAATTAGATTGTGTAGTGTGTTGAAAAAACACATTACACTCAGGTGTATGATGTAAATTTCGCCTATATAGATAGATACCTACACGAGTTCCCGAGATAAAGGGGTTTGACAGACAGATAACAAAGTGATCCCATAGGAGTTTCGGTTTTTCCTTTTGAGGTATTGAACCTAAACTAACCTAAAAAAGATATAGATTACTATGAAACGACGTAACGCTTATTTGAATTGCAGTATCCAATTTTTCATTAAACGCGTAACAGGAAGGGGTGTGTTTTGCTGTGAACGTTCATCCCAATAGAGCTATCACGGTGAACGTTATTGCAACTTAAACCACGTCACGCGCCAACGTAATACGTTTGCAAAGCTCACGTACATTCGTAAAAAGTGTTATCGGATATCAGATAGCGAATAAATACATACAAAATGGAATATTTAATGCGTCTATTTAGCTGAGATTTTTTTATCTTAATTGCTACTAGTCCTTAAGAGCCCTTTTACAAAATTGCGCCGCTTCCTTACTGATCGGCGCTTAGGTAGGTAGTAATATTGCATTTTACGGGTGATGTTTCGAGTCTTATAAAATAATGATTAATGAAATAATTATAAAAATATATAAATATTTTAGTAGTTCAATAATGGTAGATTGGTTTTATGACAGTTTTTGATAGTAATTCTATTTAATTCAATATCAAAATACGGGTAAACCTGCATTGTTTTTGGGAAAACTCACGGAGGTTAGATGTTTTTTTGATAATTAATGAGATGGAAAATCAAAATTCTAATACATTATGTTACAACAAAAACATATTTTAATGTCGTAGTAATTAATTTGATCTAATTTATTGAACATTATTTAGAGATTCAGGCGTTTGAAGTTGTGCATATTATCGTTTTTTCCGTAAACTAGCTGCGGTAGAACGATCAGTACAAAAAAGGGAAATAGTATTTGCAAATATTCTACATTAACTTACAATAGGAAGAATAAATCTACTGTTAATTTCTATTGGAAATAGTCAAAATCTTTTCTAAGGGGGTAAACGAGGCGCTCAAAAATATGATTTTTTGCAAAATATGTGAAAAGGCCCTTAAGGACTTTTATCAATTTTGTTGTATGCGGAATGACTTTAAGAGAGCAGAGGCCAGTGCCTCAGCTTCCCAGCTAAACAACATTACGTCTTAAGATTTTGTTAGTTGTATTCGACGTATCCAGCAACTCGTTGATTAGTGGGTTTGGGTGCAAGGTTAGCCCTTGGAAGTATATTTCCTTGCAGCCTTGTATTTCTTCTACTATAGTAGGAATTTTTAGGTACTCATGAATTTCGCTGTTTCGTGTGAATCATGGTGCCTTTGCAATATTTCAAAGAATTTC